GGGGCCCCCGGGGGCCCCCCGGACTGCGCGTTTGGCGCGCAGCAGCAGCAGCATGAGCAGCGCGCCTGCTGCCAGCAGCAGCAGGGACTGGGGCTGGACTTTGAGGCTTTTCAAAGCAGCAGCAGCAGCAAGATGGAAGTCTGCTGCTGCTGCTGCTGCTGCAGGGGCCCTGGGGACTTGGCGGGGCAGCAGGGACTGCAGCGCGAGGGCGTGGCGCTGCTGCTGCTGCTGCTGCAGCTGCTGCTGCGCTGCGCGCAGCGCCTCGCCTTCTGCTGCTGCGACCTTTGCTGCTGCTGCTGCTTGCTTCAGGTTGGCTAGCTCCACTCTTGCTGCAGCTAGCTGCTGCAGCACGAGCCGCAGCTCCTCGCGGGCCACTTCAATTTGCTGCTGCTGCCGCTGCAGCTGCTGCTCCGTCCTGGCCTGCAGCTCGATCTCCCGCTGCAGCGTGAGCTGCCGCACTTGCTGCTGCACCTCTCGCACCGTTTCTGCTGCTGCTGCTGCTGCAGCAGCAGCAGCAGCAGCGTCTGCTGCGTCTGCTGCTGCTGCTGCGTCGAGCTGCTCCGCCGCCGCCGGGGGCCCCTCGGGGGCCCCCTCCGGGGGCCCCTGCGGGGGCCCCCAGGCCGCCGCTGCTGCTGCTCTTTTTGCTGCTGCTGCTGCTGCTGCTTGCTGCAGCTCCGCCCAACCCAGCGCCGTCAGGTACCGCTGCTGCTGCTCCACTCCCGGGATTGTTGCTGCTGCTACTCCTGCGTCTCTGCTGTCTCTCAACTTCTCCATTAAAGTCTCCAAGTTGCTCACTCCGTGCAGCACTTCCGCCAAAGCCCCCACTTCTTCCTTCAAGAACACCACTTCGTCCTCTGCAGCAGCAGCAGCAGCAGCAGCAGCAGCAGCAGCAGCAGTTGCAGCGGCAGCGGAGGGGCAGGCGGGAGGCCTGCGGCGCCAAAAACCTCCCTAGCTAGCTGTAATTCGCTCTGGCTAGCTGTGGCTAGCTGTAGCTAGCTGTGGCTAGCTGTGGCTAGCTGTGGCTAGCTATGGCTGTACGAGGAAACCCTGCACTGGAACAGCTAGGCCGTGGCTAGCTGCAGCTCTTCCCAGCTAGCTACATCCCCCACATCTAGCTAGCTAGCTAACTAGCTAGCTAGCTAGCTAGCCAGCTAGCTAGCCAGCCAGCTAGCTAGCTCCCCAGCTAGCCCCCCAGCAAGCCCCCTAGCTACCCCCCAGCCAGCTAGCCAGCTAGCCAGCTAGCTAGCCAGCTGGCTAGCTAGCTAGCTGGCTAGCCAGCTAGCTAGCCAGCTGGCTAGCTAGCTAGCTGGCTAGCTAGCTAGCTAGCTAGCTGGCTCACGGAGGATGAGGAGCTGGACGTAGGCGTTGGTTTGCCGGCGGAGGGGCCCCTGGCGCCAGTGCGAGTTGGCAGCAGCTAGCCAAAGGTAAGAGGGGGGGCCCCCCGAGAGTTCTGCTGCTGCTGCTTCGGAGTATTCGTTTCTGCGGAAGCCAAAGGCCCGCAGCGTTTGCTGCTGCTGCTGCTGCTGCGGCTGCACCGGCTGCAGGAACTCCCGCCCGTCAAACCGACACGCCTCCATCAGGTGGTGCAGCAGCCGCGCGTCTGCAGCAGCAGCAGCAGCAGCAGCAGCAGCAGCAGCAGCAGGGTGTAGGGAAGGCGAGGCGAGGCAGGGGATGCAGCAGCAGCAGCAGCAGCAGCAACAGCAGCAGCAGCTGCTGCTACCGGACAGCTGCTGCAGCCGCTGCTGCAGCTACTGCCGAAGCTCCTTCAGCAGAACTGCAGCAGCAACTACAGCAGCAGCAGCAGCAGCAGCAGCAGCAGCAGCAGCAGCAGCAGCAGCAGCGGCTTACGGCTGGTGGCGCTGCCTCTGGTGCTGACGACAAAGACAGGACTCAAGCTGCTGCCGTTCTCTTTTATCCAGGCCACGGCCCGCACCCGGTCCGTGTAGGGAGATATCACTGCAGCAGCAGCAGCAGCAGCAGCAGCAGCAGCAGCAGCAGCAAACACGAGGGGCAGCAGAAAACAGAGCAGCAGACAAAAGGGACAAAAAAGAGAAAAGAAAGGAAAATAAAAAGGAGACAAAAAAAGCAAAAAGAGACAAAACAGAAATTAAAAAGAAAACAAAAAAAGAAATTAAAAAGAAATTAAAAAGAAACAAAGAATGAAATTATAATGAAATAAAAATAAAAATAAAATAAATTAAAATAAAATCAAAATAAATATGAAATTAAATTAAAATTAAAATAAAATTAAATTAAAATAAAATTAAAATAAAAGTAAAATTAAAATAAAAGTAAATTAAAATAAAATTAAATTAAAATTAAAATAAAATTAAAGAGACAAAAAGAGACGGAAAAGGAGCCCCAAGACACAAAAAGGGGACAAAAAAAGACAAAAAAGGGACAAAAAAGAGACAAAAAAAGACAAAAAAGAAACAAAAAAAGAAACAAAAAAGAGACAAAAAAGAGACAATAAAAGAGACAATAAAGAGACAATAAAAGGGACAATAAAGGAGACAATAAAGGAGACAGAAAGGGGACAAAAAAGATCCAAAAAGGATCCAAAAAGGCGCCAAAAAAGGTCCAAAAAAGATCCAAAAAAGATCCAAAAAAGACCCAAAAAGGATCCAAAAAAGATCCAAAAAAGAGCCAAAAAAGGATCCAAAAAGGAGACAAAAAAGATCCAAAAAAGATCCAAAAAAGAGCCAAAAAGGCTCCAAAAAAGTTGCAAAAAAGATCCAAAAAAGATCCAAAAAAGATCCAAAAAAGAGACAAAAAGGCTCCAAAAAAGTTCCAAAAAGACCCAAAAAAGATCCAAAAAAGATGCAAAAAAGAGGCAAAAAGGAGACAAAAAAAGAGACAAAACGGACGCGCTGCGAGCTGGAGATAGTCCTGTTTGAGGAAGTCTGGGGGGTCTTGGATTTGGTGGTCTTGGAGAAAAAAAAGAATTTTGTTTTCAATTTCCAAACTCGGCGTTGGATTTCCCTCGCCAGGAGTGAAGTCCACGAGGATGTCCGGCGTGTACGCGTTCAGCGGCACCCGCCGCACTTCTGCGCAAAAAACAGAACTCTCCTGCTGCTGCTGCTGCTGCTGCTGCTGCTGCTGCTGCTGCTGCTGCTGCTGCTGCTGCTG